AAAAAACAAACAAAAAACTCCCCAAAACCAACCAAACAAAACCTTGGGCTGACTCCAGTGCTCTTTTTTGGAGAGACTCCTGATCCACGTGGGCAGGCAGAAAAGAGGATGCAGTTGCTTTAAACAGGGCTCCAGGAAGTCTTTCATCTGATTCCTGCCACAGGCACCTGCTGCTGCTTGCGGATCTTGTTGAACAGCTCCATGTACTGAACCATCGTGTCCGCTGGGCTGTAGATGCTGTCGTGCTTGGTGCCAAACACGGACGGGATGCCGGGAGTGTGGCTCCCCATGAAGCTCTGCATGAACTCCATGAGCAGGTTCCAGCAGTCGTTGGCTATCACACAGGGGCAGTACTCAACCTGGCAACAGAAGCCACAGCACTGAAGCTCACAGCAGGGGCAATAACCACACAAGCAACAACGCACCTTCCCTTTGCCTCGCTAGGGATGCACATTTAGTCAGTGGCTTAAAATCAGAGACCAACTTCTCAGTGCTGCGGTTACAGATGGATATATAATAGCTCTCATAAAAACAGACGAGAGGAGAACATCTAGCATAAAACAACAGAGGGATAGACAAATGTAAATGAACAAGGTGTGCTGGGAACAAACCAGCAATCCCTTCAGAAGGGAAAAAGGGGGAAGGGAAAACACACCCTGTGTAAGTTCATTGCCCATGTTAAATCCCCAGGAGAGGAGGTCTCAGGACTTTGGTTCAAACGTCACATTAACGTTAACACATCGAAAAGCGAACATCATTCCCACAAGCTGGTAGGCTGATGACTCATGTGTGGGTGTGACATCTTTCAGGTGTGTGTTGAAAAACTTTGGGTCTTAAGTATTTGCAGCCTCTTATTAGAGAGGAGTCTGGTCCCAAATCAGGAGTGGGTCCTAATGCAAGCCCTGAAAAAAAAACTACTAAATCAAAACGGAAGCAACCAGACCATCTGGCAAATCTGGTCCTGAACTCTAAAAGTTTAGAGTAAAACAAACTTCTGCTTAACCCCAGATTAACAGGAATGCTGACACTATTACAATGTTTGTGTTTACTCAACTGAAGGGGAAAAAAGAAAAAACACATTTCTCAATCCCCATCACTGCTGGCTAGTAACACCTGCCTGAGTAGGTTCAGTGTGATTATTAATTACGTATCAGGTAATAGGATTTGTGTTTAGAAAGGCATAAGCTCAGCTCTTTGACCTTTAAGCATCTAATTCTCAGCTATCTTAAAGAGTGTTAGGCTTTAATGTATCTAGATATCTTGAGTCTGACCTACTCTGCCTTACCCTTCCCACAGCAGCACAGACCAGCTTCTTGTCTTATTCTGAGAGCCTTTTCAGCCCAGGTGAGGCTCGTCAGCCTTTGAGTTGCACATCCATTCAGCCAACTGTCTCCCCAAATGACTTCATAGCTCCTCCTGTGACCCTTCATCTGTACTGAAGGATCGCCCTGCAGCTGGCACGAAACAACTGGTGCTCTCAAGCCTAATCAACAGTCAGGCTGCTGAGCAGAAACAGCGGAAGCTGTTTGATGACAGGCTTTGTGCCCACACTGCACCCCACAGTGCAGCAATCCAGGTCAGCCATGGGGTAGGACTGACGCCTGCAACGCAAAGCTCTCTGAAGAGGAGACGCCATCTTTATGCCATGTGCGTGCAGAACCTAGGGCAGGAGGACCGTGCTCTCCACTGGGATGCCTAAGCCCAGCCATTTTCTGCTCAAGATGGGGAAAGAAAGCAAAACCCAAATCAGCATTAAATTATCAGCTAAAGAGATTGTTTTGTCCCCCTTGGTATGTTTAATAACCTGAAGCGTGCTACTAGTGTCGTGCGTCAGGACTTTAAGCAGCTTTTTAGTTTGATGGCATCCCTTCAGGGCTTTGTTTATTGACACTTCAATGACAGGCTCTTCCACAGCTGCAGCTGAGCCCCAGAGTATCTGCCTGAATTAAACCTTGCCTTGAAAAGGCAATAAATACTCCTTGCACATACACGAATACATCTAGTACAAACTAACAGCAACTAGTATACAAGTTCACATTTGAGAGGCTGGCCTGTAGGCCAAGCAGTCAATACATGGAAGGAAGAGGGGCTCAAGATTTCTAGTCTAGCATCTAATATGAGATTTCTCTATCTGTAGTTGTATTTTATATCAATCAAAGACAATCCTTACCTCCACAGATATCCCACGGGCACTGGGCCCCATTGTAACCGTGCCCACCTTCACCAAGAAGTCACAGTACTGGTAGCGGGTTCCCCGGCTCTCTATCTTGTTCGCCTTGGCATTTTGGAAGAAGCCTTTCAGCTTCACCATAAGGATATCAAAGTTGGCATCTGCTATGAGGCAGGGACCATTTTCAAAGAGAGCGAAACAGCTGAGGGGATATTCAGAGTTGTGCATCACATACATCAGCTTGCCTGTCTGCCCTGAAACAAGAGCAATGATATATGGGCTGCAGAAACAACAGTCCTGTGCTTGTATGTGCTTTTAAGAAAGAAACATCTCTTTGCTTTCCCTTTGTTTTCCTTGCTGCTTCAATTCTAGGATCCTTGTATTAGTCTCACACACTTTACGTTTTCTGAGTGTTCCGGAGATAGGTTATATTTCCCTCTTAGGGTTTAAAACTAAAGGAAAAAAAAATCTCATGCAGCCACTCCTTGCCCAGGGACAAGACGGCAGTGCAACTCAAGGGCCAGACTTGGATGTTAGATCCCCAGCAGGATGAGAGGGTCAGCAAAGAGCACCTGCTCCCCTCCCAGAACATGGGGCTGTCCTCTTCAGCCCTGCAGTAAAGGGAGAAAAGCTGGGTTTTGCCTCATCTCCCAGTCGCTGACCAGCCCCACAGAGCTAGCAAAGGAAGGAGGTGCCTTGGCACATTCTGGAAAACAGGACATCCAGAGAGGATGTGCCTAGCTTGTACAGTGATTCAGAAGTGGAAGAGGATTCTCATTTATCTGTGTTGGTTAAAAAAGCCTCTCAACAGATGTGATTGTGCAAGTTCCAGTTCCAGCTCCAGCAAAAAGCCCCTCTCATAGCTTCAAACCTGCAGACACATCCGCAAAACCCGACAGCAGGGCAGCTGAAGCAGCACCCCCGCTGCACCAATCTGCCTGGGAAGAG